AGGAAAAGTTCTAATTTTTAAGTGTTTTATCCTTTTTTTTTTTTAGTACGGGGATGGAACTCAGGACCTTGTGCCTCCAAAGCAGGTGCCAGTGCCACTGAGCTAAATCCCCAGGTCTGCCTCATTCTTAAAAATACTAAATTTTACTATTTTGTACTTTAAATGATCAAACACTGGTAAATTATAGTAATTCACCTCTTTAGGTGGACTGGTTAAAATATGATAAAAAATAAATTCCTGGTTGAAGGCTTAATGTATGCTGTGTTTATATTCTGTTACCAGAACAGGCTCAGGTTTCTCACAAGTAAATGCTATTGGTTGCAGAAAATTAGACTAAATTAGACTTCTGTCCCTAGAAAAACAATTCAAAGAGTCTGTCTTGTTAACAAGCCAGTTAGCAAGATAATCCTGGCATAAAGAAATGTAATCACTCTTCTGTGTGTGTGTCTCTTTTTTTCTATCCTTTTCTTTCATTTATGCATATTCTGGCTCAGCCACAAAAGAATTGAAGTGATTTTCATTAAGATTACGTAGCATGGAATAGTAGTAAGATTAAATAATATGGAATATAGTAAAATATAGTAATAGAATCAGAACTAGAGAAAATATGAATGCAAGAAGATGATCAAGGAAATGTTATGTAGGAAATTATGATCACCAGGATAATATAATGGTGTCATTGTCATGTGTGGCAAAGTTAGTAATAAGTGACTTAATCAATTGCATATCCTAACTTCATACTTTGTTTTGTTTTTTAAAGAAGCAAAGCTTTTTGTAGCTGTTAAGACTGATTGTTAGATGGGGCTTTACATAATGGCACTAAATAGTTGTCCTTAGTAAAGCAGTGGTAGCATGGATATAAGTTTGTGATATGCTAGACTGGGGCTTTAATCGTATCTGTCGAACAGTTGTGAACGTCAATTGCTATTTATTTTATCAAAATTTTAACTGTAGGTGTTAATAATTATCTTCTGTCTTTAATCATATATTCCATTTGTTGACTTTTTCAGGATACATACATTGAAGCTTGGGACAAGATATTTATCTAATTTCTGGTAAGTCAAGTGACTGTTTTAGAAAGTCACTTCATACAATATACAGTGGTATTTTTAGTCATTTAATATTTTAGGGAAATTTTAGTGACTAAGATAAAAACAGTACCAATAACTTTTTTTTATTGAGTAGTGTCAAAAGAACAGATAGCTTTTCTGTAAATTTATTTCTCAATGAAAAGACATTATCCACAGGTGTATATAATTTCCTTAAGAATTTGGTTACTTGTACTGAATCAGATAGTGATGTTTTGTTTTGTGAAGAACACAATTACTCTCAACATGACCTAGTTTAAAATCCAGATATTCAATATGATCTACTTAAGATATGAGTCAAATTATTAAGGTCAGTATGAAATTTCAGTCCTCTTCAGCTTTTTCCTATCTCAATTACAGCTTGCAAGTTATTTCAAATTCTAACTTCAGCACACTTCATGAGCAAACAGGTGAAACCTTATTT